AGGTAATTTATCCATTTGAACTTAAGTTTTACTCATTGCCATACACATGAATCTAACTACAGTATTCTACACACCAACGTACACTTAATCCAGCACCAATAACTGTAGATACATACTTTTATCCGTTGTAAAATTTTAGATTCTTTGTCAAAAAACAGTAGTTTGTAGATGTGTGGTGTGACATCAGTGTTTTCAATTCAATTCTTTTGATCTCCTTATTGATTTTTGTGCCAATAACAAGGTGTTTTCAGGACTATTGCTTTGTAGTAGAACTTGAAATAAAGGATGATGATGCCTCCAAATGTTGCTTTATTGCACAGGGTTATGTCTAGTAACCTGTATTTTGTTTTTGCATACAAAAATGAGAAATGTACTTTCAAGATCTGTAAATAATTGTGCTGAGATTTTGATGGGGATTGCATTGAATATGTAGATTTCTTTTGATAAGACTACAATTTTTAGTAACTTGATCTTATCTATCCAAGTTCATGGGAGGTCTTTCAATTTTCTGGTATCTTCTTTAAACTTTTACAATAAAGAATCAACTTTGTTGGGTCAGAAAATGATTTTGTTACTTGTGATTCATTTAATGCCGTCAAACTTCACACAAGTGATTTAAAAATTATTGAAATTTTACACTCAGAAAATGTAACTGGGAGACTAAGACAACAGCAACAACAAATTTTGATACATGCATGCTTTCAGAATCTCAAATAAAATAATTTAAACTGAGTGATAATAAACACTATGAAATATTCTTTGATAATTAAATAACAAATACTTCGTGACTTCTATAATCATTGAATGAAGTAGCACGTTATATATCCAGGGATTTAATAGTATATCAACATAAATTAAGTGGCATTTAGTTTTTACCCTTTCACTAATGAGTAGGTCATTTGTATCAAACATCCATCTTTCATTTTTAAATCCAAACCAGTGATGAAAGTTATAAGGATGTGGAGAAAGGGTAACACTCCTCCATTGCTGGTGAGAGTGCCAGTGCGCACAGCCATTTTCGAAATCAGTATGGAGATTCCTCAGGAAAATCGGCCACAAGACCCAGCAATTCCACTCTTACGCATATATCCAAAAGAGGCAAATTCATACAACAAGGGCATCTACACCACTATTTTCATAGCAGCATTATTTTTAATAGCCAGAACCTGGAAACAACCTAGATGCCTCTCAATTGAACAGTGGAGAGAGAAAATGTGGTACTTTTATACAATGGAGTATTTCTCAGCTGAAAAAAAAACGATGGAATCTTGAAATTCATAGGTAAATGGGTGGCACTAGAAGAAACCATCCTAACTGAGGTAACCCAGTCACAAAAAGACAAACATGGTATGCACTCACTCATATATGGATTTTAGAAGTGGATCAGCATAGTGCCACTCTGCACTTCCACTGACAGAGAGTCTGGGAAACAGGAAATAACCTAAGAGATATGCATGGTACTCCAGAGAAGAGGAATGAGGCAAGATCTTCTGAAGAGATGGGGAACACTGCTAGGGTAGTGGCAGAGTGGGAGCTGGGAAGAAGAGAGGGGAGAGGAAGAGAGAGTAGGTTATTGGGGGAACAGGAAGGTTGAGTGGGGGTAGAATAGGAGGAAGAGGGAATCATAGGTTAGAAGACAGATTAAGCACCAGCGTGACCTCTAGTTATCTAAAGGGATGACACCAACTGGCAAGCTAAGCAATAGTGGAGAGACCACCGCGAATGCCCATTCCTGATAATGAACTTGATGTCTATAACCATCCTGGAGCTTTCTGTACAGTGACTGATGGAAACAGAGGCAAATACCCTCAGTTAAACACTGAACTGAACCCAAAGAACCCAGTGACAGAGAGAGGAACGATGAGGAATTTGGTAAAGAATGGGATGGCAAAGCCAGTAGAGACAGCTGATCTGAACAGGGGAGAGCTTTTGGACTCCAGATGGACAGCTGGGAGGCAAGCATTGGACTGATCTAGACCCCCCTGAATGTGAGAGTCAGTGAGGAGACCTGGGCAACCTATGTGGCCCTGGGCAGCAGATCTCTGGCATACAAAAACACATGGTGTGTTCATAACACAAAGAAGTATGCTTTCTCAGCCTGGATTCTTAGCGGAGTGCCTGGACCCTGCCCTGACTGAAATGACAGACTGCAGATATCCCCTATGTGGAAGGAAATGGCTATAGGGTGGGAGGCAGGGGGGAAGATAAGGGGTGTGTGGGTGCAGGGGAGCGAGAGGGAACTGGGACTGACATGTAAAACAAACTATTTAAAATTGAAATAATAATAAAAATATTTCAATTCTGAAAAATTCCTTTATGTATACATTTTTTCTTGTTCATAACTTTTGCCCTGACACTCCTTAAATTTTCCATGACTCATCCAAAAAACATATCACATCATCTAAATTTATCATTCTAAATTATTAAAAGTAGTCTGGGCTGGGGTGGTATACGCTTTTAATACCAGCACTCAGGAGGCAGAGGCAGGAGCATCTCTGTGAGTTCGAGGCCGGGCTGGACCAACAGCCTCCAAAACAGTACAGAGAAACCCTGTCTCATAAAACCAAAAAATAAAAAAAATTATTAAGAACAATTATATTAACACTAAGTACCCATGTATTGGCATATACTTGGGCATGAACAAGAAAGTAGTGGGTGATTTCTTCCACAGCAGACACATACAAAGGGAATAATTCTCAACCAGGAGCTGACTCAAAGTTTAGTTTCACATATTTTTATTTCGTATTTAGACAAGACAAATTGAAATATTTTACAAGTTTATTGTGGAGTAATGTTATTAGTGTAAACAGCACTCGACCATGACTTTTAAAACTGAAAGAGCCAATGTCAAATGTATTTCATCATAAAACCTTTAGTATTTGTTAGGATATTACACATACCATGCAAACATTTGGGATTCTTTGCAGATGATATCAAGTTAATGTACCATGTCATTAACATGTCTTCTTTTAACCCAGACACTATTCTGCTCAATAATTTTCATTCCTCGCATTGGGGACTTTTATCCTTATTCTACTTATATAATTCTCTGAATTATCTCTACGTAGTCATGATGTTGTGAGAAGTTCCTGATCTCAATATATATTAATACTTTATCTCAGGATAAAATTTATACAAATGTGGGAATAATATACTCAGCTTTATATTCAGACTATGTATAGCACATATAAATATGTGTTTTACCTTGGATTGAAGTATTTGTGTGATGAAAAAGTTTAAAGAATTGACAATACCCTTCTAATTTTATTTTTTTGTTTTTTAGATTTTTTATTAAAATTAGATACATGCTTGCTTCAAATATCATTCCTAACTTACTCCTGTCATATGGGTAAAATGAAAAACACCAAAGGTATTTTATGCTCGAAAAGATGTGGAGAAAGAGGAAAACTACTCCACTGCTCTTGTGAGTGCCAAGTCACACAGCCCTTATGGAAATCGTTATGGAAATTGCTCTCGAAATTGAAAACAGTATAACACAACATCCTGCAATTCCATTCTTAGAAATATGATCAAAAGATACACATTCATTCAACAAGCACATCTATTCCAAATTATTCACAGCAGCATTACTTGTAATAGTCAGAATCTAGAATCCACCTAGATGTCTCTAAACTGAAGAGTGCATTAAGAATATGTATTCAGTTTACAAAATGGAGTACTATTCATTGGAAAAGCAAACAAACAATGGAATCTTAAAATTTTTATGCAAATGAATGACACTAGAAGAAACCCACTTCACTGAGGCGACCCAGTCACAAAAAACAAATATGCTATGTACTCTCTCATATATGAATTTTAAACATGGATCAGTAGAATGCCAATATTGAATCCAGTTGCCCCTGTGTGAGGGAAACAGAACCTTCATCCATTGACTGCTGGAACCTGATGCAAACACATGGAGCTAAACAAGGACATGTACTCCTGAATTCCAGTGACAAATAGAGAAGACTGATGAATAAAGGGATCAAGACTGAGCTGTTTTAACCCACAGAAACAACTGATCCTTTAAATCTTAACAGAGAAATTTCAAGACCAACTGTTTTGTAGCATGAATATTTTCCTTTCAATAAAACATATATGAAAGAAGAAACTGGTTTGAGAATTCCTCTTGTGCATATACTGTGAGGAATAATCCATGAATTGACATTACCAGAATAAAATTATTCTTTTTTGTTTTTGTGTAGTAAATGGAGTTTTGCAAAGTATTAGAGACATTGTCAACATGAATAATCACAAAGCCTGTGTATAGCCTATCAGAGAGCAGTGCAATTGACAGTTTTTAATGGATATTTGTGTATACATTTAATGTCCGATGATTCTGATTTTATGAAGTTCTTTTGAAATAAAATGTTTGATCAGGCAAAGGATTCGGATCTGCTTACATCCTTCATATGCAAGTTTACAGATGTTAAAATTTCACTCACACAATGAACAAAACTACAATGGATCTCTGGTGGGAAAGAAAACAGCAAGATTCACCTATTCTATTTAAGAGACTGATTCCTATGTTATAGTATTTTTAAAGCAGGTACTGCAGATCTTCAAGAGCTGCAAAGAGTTTTAAAGAAATAAAGTATTCCAAAAGCAGGAATCCCCTTGTTGAAAAATTAATAGGATAAGCTTAATCAAAGGTGTATTACAAGGAATGAACAATCCATGCATTTTCTATTTTGTATGCACTTTGTCTCCTTCAAATATAAGGAATACTTAATTTAATTTGTCTGGTAAAAAACACAGTGAATTTTAGTTATGTTCATGAGCAACTGAATTTTGGAGTACAGCCAGATCCTGGCTGGTAATAACCTAATATTCAGACAAAGTATTTAATAGCCTTGTCTCACTCTGAGTGTTTGTGCGCATTTAAATTGCACTGGGAACCTGAACCAATAAGGAGAGTGATCTCAAACCCACCAATGAAAGCAAATCATGAGGAAAGCTTGGAGATCTCCTTCAGAGCTGCTGATTCATTTCTCCCTGCAAACTAAACGTGTGCTGCAGCAGAAACAATGCTAAACAAAATGGATGTCAGGAAATAATATAAATTATCCTAGTCACTGAATAAAATGAACAACAGAGAAAAACATCCCTAGGTAAGTAGGGGTGGACTTACGTCCACCTGCTTGTTTGTACATCCAAGATAAGGATATGAAATCCTCCATTTCTGTCTTCTAAAGTATGATTCTGATTCTGTGCTGCAAATTGAAGCGAGCTTGTCATGATTTTTGATGTCATGTCAGATTCCACAGATCCATTTACTTGTAGAATCTGACACTGAAATTCACAGAATCTTAGATTCTGTAAGTAAGAATTCACCAGACATTGTCATTTATAAGTATCCTCCAAGGGCACATTTGAACAATATGAGCCTGTTTCAAACAAATATTGGTTTAAAACTAAATTTTCTTGCAAAAACTGCAGGACTAAGACTGAAGCAGAAATCACAGACAGTAAGGTTGCATCTGTGGCTTCAGAGACAGGGGCCCCTTTACTGCCCAACAAACAGGACTAATTAATTACTGCCGCAGTGTTAAAAAAATCACAAGATTGTCATCCCTATCCTAGGTTTTAATTGTTTCTGTCTCCTTAAGGACTCCAGTACAGTTTCCCTTCTCTGCGGTTCTTACAGCCAGGCTTTGGCTTATTCCAGCTAAGAGCTGGATATAAGCCAGAGCCTGACTGGAAAAGTCCTCCAGTGCAGTCATTTTTATTAGAAGTCATTGACTCCCATTGGAGGAAGGCAGGCATTTAAGATGCATTGGGAACAAACCAGAAGAGCTCATACCCAGAAATAGAAACAAATGACAACAGTTCTTATAGATTTGAATCAGCATTGGTGATTCATCTCTCTCCCTCCTCTCTGTATGTGTGGCTCTGCTACAATTTGCAAGTAAACAGCAGTGTGTATTCGTGGCAGATTGCTGGGCAAATTGCAAGCTGTTTTGCCCAGCTTGTAGCAATCTACCTCACAGTCTCTATTCCTGGCAGTATTTTCATGGTTTTGCCTCTCAGTCGCCCTTTGTGTCTGGTTTCTTACTCATAATAAACTATTTTTCTTATTTTCGATATATTTTATGTATGATGATATACAATATATAAACTATGTATACTATTGCATGATTTAAATTTGTAGGCACATTTCTATAAAATGAATTAAAATTCTGTCACTCACATAAGCATGAATATACACAAACATACATACATGTGAATATATATACATTTTTATTCAATCATTTTACAAAGAAATACTTTATATATGATTAAGTCTCTTGATTAATACTCATCGGTTACAAATCATAATAGCTTACTGATCAGGTATAGTTTCATCTTTCCCCTATGTTTTTTCTCATATTCACTTCACATTCAACAATGATTTATTAATATTTTATAATGAACATGTTCTTTTGATGAACCAACACATTTCACAGTAATAGAATTCCACTAACTTGCAGTATCTCTCTCTCTCTCTCTATATATATATATATATATTGCTATATAGTATAATATGTTACTATATTCTTAGTAATTAACACTTAATTAAGTTTGTCCTTCTCTGTATCTGCTTATCATCCTGTAGAGCACAATTTCAAGGCCTGCAGTCCAGGCTCTCCCACACTTCTGCTACCTGACCTGCAGTCCAGACTCCACAAGCTACACACTTGCACCTTTGAATATATACTATTAAGGCTAAGCTTCCAGCTTCAAAGCAATAATTTCTCCCAATTAACCCCTGATCTGGCAACTTCTTGCTTTAACTGTTATAAGAATCATTGTGATAAAATAAAATTTTGCAGAATGACCAGAAAGCCTGTATGCTGCCTGTTTCTCATGTCTCTTGTCTCTTTCATTCCAGGTTATGTTGAGTCTGACCACTGTTGAGCCATGCTGGACAGAGCAATGAATGACAAACAAATGCTTTTCATGTATTTGTATGTGAATCCTTAGTGAAACATCAACTAGACCCTCATTAGAATCTCGTGTAATGCATACTTGAATAAAAATCTAACTCTCCTTCTCCTTAGGCCCATTATAATTAGGCACTCCAATAAAAGTAGGGCTTCATTTCTCCTCTCTCTAAGTGTTCAATCATTTTACGGGCTGAACATAGTAAGTGTTATTTGCATTAATTCACTACTATGGAAATTACTTAATGTCAATGTGTTTACATCTCAATAAAATACTCTTTTTGATGCTGATGTATTTTAGAACTAGCTGATTTGAGACATGATTTGTGCTTGGAGTAGAATATACTAGACTAGCCTAAATGTCCATGTATATTGAGGAAAATACTCTTAACTCAATTCTCTAATATTCTTGAATTTCATCATACCAGTATACCTGGTAATTAATATTTATATTCTGGAAATGTATTCTAGGTTTTAAAATTAACAATTGAGCATTTTGCTGAATGATACCTAAAAGACACTCCAGAATAAATCCATGAAAGCAAAAGAATAATAAATGAATATAACTCAATGACAACCACTGTGCTAAATACTCTATAGATCATTGTATATTATTTACTCCATGATTTTGATGTGGTCTTCGATATTCCTCAATGTTTACATACTATTTTCTGACTACTGGATATGAATTACAGGATATGAATAAGAGCCTGGATGTAATCTTTCATCTTTACACATACCCTTATATAAGAAACTTATAAAGGAAATTCCTGAATATAATGTATAGATTCACAGGGTTGAATTGAAATAATGGAACTACAGAATGCTGCATGAAATAAAATAAATATATATAGAAATTAACTGTACTAATCTATGCATATTTCAAGTTTCCATGTAAAACATACATAAAGCAAAAGACAATCTTTACATATAACTTCATGTCATTTACCAATGATTTCACGTTTGAGAAATGTCTGGAAATAGTAAATAGTGAGTACTGGAATGTATCACTTTACCAGGTTTTCTTTATGCCATGGAAATGGAAATAATTATAGTCACAGAGTTTTACTCTTTGAAATTGTGTTTCTCTACTTATTTAATATCACATAATGGGAGGGGAAGCATGATTAAGAAAAACAAATATCATAGGAATTATAATTAACAAAAAAATTGATATGAAATAAGAGAGAGTTTCCTGCAGATTTTCCCTAGATTCTATCTTACACTAAGAATGTCTTCATTCCTGTCTATATTATTGTGACTGTGAATTGGGCTCCCATGAGCATCAGGATTCTTATTAATTATGATTTGTTTGTGTAAATTTCTATGTGGGGTACTTTAATGTAATTAAATTATAATTAAAATTTATTATTTTATGTACTCATATAAAAATAATCTAATGTATTCTTAAATTATTACAATGATTACTTTTAATGTTATGAGATGGGTTATAATACATAATGCATTTATTCATATTAGTAAGTTTTATAAAAAGCTGCTTGGATTAAAGAAAGAAATGATTCTTCAAATTCTCTTCCAAATAGTCTAGCTGGAATACACTATCTCACATTGACTTAGTAAGAAATGAGTTAAGAATTATTTATTTTTGAAAACAAGAATTTTAAATATATTTGAATTCTGTACAATTTTTCTGTCTTTTTAAAAGCCTTATAATGAAGTTCTCAGTTACATTTGTAAAGGTACAACATAGTATGGATTCTCTGATGCCGTTAATATTCTTAAATAACTATTGATATTATTAGTTATAAATTAGATTGTGTATAATCCATGGCATTATATATTATAGAAATCCTCAACAATTTTCAATATCACTTGTAATTCTGAGTCTTATATTTTTCATCAGGCTTTACTATGAACTGAGTGCTTTTAAGTCAGTTGTATATCCATCAATACGGAAACATCTATTGAAAAATGAGATGTACAACATGGCAATCATTCCACAAGAAAATTAAATCGAACTATCCTGTACATTTATGATTAAATCAATGATCCCTTCTAATGTTTTTCTAAATTATTCTTGTACCTATGAATTCTGGGATTTTTGAGATCCAAATATTGTATAATAATTATGAATTTAGTTCTGATCTTGGAAATTCCTGAGCCAATGATAATCACATACCATTCAAATACTGTTCTGATGAAGGTGTTTATCTAATCTTATTAAGTTGTGACAGGTTTTTTGGAAAGGAATATGCTGTTTATCCTAGTGGGGGAAATAAAACCAGAGAACTTTCTGTGAGTAACCTTCTCTCTTGTTCACAAACTGTATGATGCTGGTATGTCTGGTTTTAAAAAATGAGTTCCCTGGAAATTTAGCATAGATTTATAAATTTCCAAATGAGCCTGATACTGACTCTGTTATTTACATGGCTGTCCAGAGTAGCACCATAAATGAAAATAGCCTCAAGGCAATAAATCAAAGATTGTGTTGGTAAGTACTCTAAAAATCATTGTATACTTATTTTTTGTTACATATGATGTGACCCTCTGTGATAGTTAAATTTAAATTTTATTTTTAAAAACTGTATGTAAATGTCATGAATTTGGCAAGACCTTGGGCTTTTCTTCTATCATCCATACTCACACATTGCATTAAGTGGAGGAAAAGAGAAAATCCATGAATATTTTGTAACTGACTCCATAACTATTTTTTAAAGTGAGGAAAATGATAGAGAACCATGTATGTATAAATGGATAAATTAAATAGGAAGTGTGTATGAAGAATTAAAATGCATTATGTGGAATATTCATTTACATAGTGTGAATATATTTCACTGCGATTAGTAAAATAAAGAAGTTGACTGACATAGATTTAGGCACATTAATTTAAGTGGAAGGAACCCCTAAATTGTTGCTAGGAAGAATGGAGGACTCTTAGAATCATGAAAAGTGCAGCGGAATTGTAAAAGGTAAAGACTACATCAGCAATATGGATTAATGTAAAAAGTATAAGTTAGGTACTAACTAGCCTGAATTGCTGGTTGAAATTTTACGATTATTATTAAGAAAGCCGATGTTTGAAAGAGAAAGATCCAGATAGGAAAATCATAGAGAGAGGACAGTGTGCTTAACAATATACATATACCAGTGACTCTTCTGTTTTTCTTTTAATCCACCAAGGCATACAACAAGAAAAATGCTTTCCAATTGTCTTTACAGAAGATATCAGAACATGTTAAATTCTGTTTTGATATGTTTTGTCTTCATTCTTCTTGGCATCCAGGAAGACTTTCATTTGTTTTTATTTCTTCTTTCATCAAAGAATTTTGCAAATATGCATCATTCAATTTCCATGTGTCTGTAAGTTTTCTCCAACTTTTTTGTTGTAGATCTCTAGCTTTAAAGCATGATGATTTCATAAGATACATGGGGTTACACCAATTTTTGTAACTTTTGATGCTTACTATGTTGCCAAGAATGTGGTAGATTTTTGACAAGGCTCCATTTGGCACTGAGAAGAAGGTATATTATTTTGGTTTGGATGGAATATTCGATAGATATATATTAAGCCATTTGGGTCATAAAATCTATCATTTCCTTTGTTTTTTGTTAAGTTTATGTCTGGTAGTTCTGTCTAATGGTGAGAGCAGAATGTTGAAATCTCCCACTATAGCTTGTAAGGTATTATATATGATTTCAGTTTATTTTAGACACATGGATGCCTTTGTTAATGGGGCATAGATGGTCAGAACTGAGACTTCATCAGGGTGGATTTCTCCTGTGATGGCTATGAAATAACCTCCTTCATCTATTTTTATTGATTTAAGTTGAAATCTAGTTTGATAGATATATCAATTGCTACTTCTTGTTTCTATGATTCATTTGATTAGAAAACCACTTCCCAACACTTAACTCTGAGACAACATTTGATTTTGAAGCTTAAGAGTGTTTGTTGTATGCAGAAGAATGAGGGATTCTGTTTTCCGAACAATCCTGTTAGCCTGTTTCTTTTTATTTGCAAATTATACCATTAATGTAATGGTATATGAATGGCCATTGATTGCTCATTATTGCACATGGAAATGGTGTTTCTCACAAGCATTGGATTGACCAAATAGTCTATGCAAGCTGGCTGAAAACACAGGGATCTTTTTGTGACTACCTATGCCCCATGACATGGAAATGGATGTTAATAGAGTATACCTCATTTTTAATATGGATGTTCTAGAAATAGATACATATATATATTTACTTGTAGCTATATCGATGTGTTATTGTCAAAACTGAAGCTAAAAATACCACAAATCTTCAAAGGTATACTTTAAGAGGTTATAAACTCATCCAAATGTTATAATAATAAAAAAAACTATTAGCACACCTTAGATTACAGTTGCCTTTTAAGCAGAGACCTGTATGAAGTTTTCACTTCAAATTTATTGAGTTATAGAGATTTATGACATTGATAGTAAGACATATTATATTCACAATAGTAATGTTGAGTACTTTCTCAAGTATCTCTCAGCTAATTTAAATTCCTCTATTGAGACATCTCTATATAGTTCTGTACCCCAGTTTGAATTGGAACATTAGGTGTTTTGGATACTTGCGTCTTGACTTCTTTGTAAATTTTGGAGTTCAGTCCTCTGTCAGATGTGGGGTTATTGAATATCTTTTCACATTCTGTGGGTTGCCTTTTAGTTATGTTGACTGTGACCTTGTCTAATAGAAGCTTCTAATTTTCAGGAGGTTCCATTTATTACTTGTAGTTTTCAGTGTCTGTGCTACTGGAGTTGTGTTCATAAAGCAGTTTCCTGTATCAATTCCTTCAAGGGTACCTCCCTGTTTCTCTTCTAAGAGGTTCAGTGTGGCTGGATTTATGTTGAGGTCTTTTATACATTTGGATTCAAGATTTGTGAATGATGACAGACATGGATCAATTTTCAGTCTTCTACATGTCAGACTTCTGTTATATCAGCACCATTTGTTATAGATTTTATTGTTTTGTACAATTTAAATTTCTCTGTATTTTATGACTATTTTAAAGAACTATATATATATATATATATTACTGCTATTTTGTATAATAGAAATCCTTTCCACTTTCCAATACCACTTTTAAATATGCATATTATACACTGATTCTGTGTCTTATAAGCACTTCGTACATTTAATGCTGTTCTATGCCCATTAATAGAGAGTC